TGTGCTTTGCCACAATTCTGTCTCTGAGCTCTTCAGGCAGTTCCTTTGATCTCATGATTCTCATTTGCTCTGACATGCACTGTGAGCTGTAAGGTCTTGTATAGACAGGTGTGTGGCTTTCCTAATCAAGTCCAGTCAGTATAATCAAACACAGCTGGACTCAACTTAAGGTGTAGAACCATCTCAAGGCTGATCAGAAGAAATGGACAGCCCCTGAGTTAAATATATGAGTGTCACAGCAAAGGGTCTGAATACTTAGGACCATGTGATATTTCAGTTTTTCTTTTTTAATAAATCTGCAAAAATGTCAACAATTCTGTGTTTTTCTGTCAATATGGGGTGCTGTGTGTACATTAATGAGGAAAAAAAAATAACTTAAATGATTTTAGCAAATGGCTGCAATATAACAAAGAGTGAAAAATTTAAGGGGGTCTGAATACTTTCCGTACCCACTGTATATATATATATATACTACTAATGTTATTGTATGTTTGTATATATATATATATATAAATTATATATAATAACATTAGTAGTAGTAGTACTAGTGAACCTGTAATCTGTAAAATTATTTTAAATGAACAAACTAATTAGAAAAACATTCAAATCAACCAATCATATTGAGCAATAGAGAAAAGAACAAGAACCAAATAACATTATTATTATTATTATTTAAACTCAACTTTCCCTTTCAGGAAATTCATAAAATAACGTACATAAACATAAAATGTATAAAAATATAGAAATAATCTTTTAAATTATTTTAAATGAACAAACAAAACTTTGACCAAAAAACTCAACCAAACATAATGAACAACAGAGAAAAGAACAACAGTCCAAATAAACACACACACATTAGAAAAAAAATCACAAACAGTTACATGTTTCATCAGTGTTTGCAGGCCAGAAAATATTAAAGAAGAGAGCGGTCTAGATCCAGACAAACTATCAGCCTGCAGTGAATGAAGCTCATATCAGGACAACAACATGAAGACAAACAACCAGAGGAGCTGCAGCTGGATTCTGAGACATTTCGACCGGATCACATGAACGTGAGTGACGTGCAGCGCTGCTCACACGGATCACACAGCAAAGCCTTTTGACATAAATAAATAAATAAACGGCAAGCGCTAATTTCTCATAAAATCAAATTCATATCAAGCACATCAAGGTCAGCTCAGCATGGGTCCTACGGTCCTACGGTTAGCTACGGTTCACTGTTGCTCCGGTCAGAAGAGAGCGGCGCGCGGACAGATGAAACTTTCAGTGAGAGAAAAACAATGGCATTCTCAAAAATTAGAAAAGTTGACGGGTCCTTAAAAAGACTAAAATTTAAGGCCATAAAAACTCTTGTTACAAGGAGGTCTTAAATTTGGGGCTGGAAAGACAAAGAATTGCGATATGGCTTAAAGGGATAGTTCACTCAAAAATTAAAATTAGCCCATGATTTACTCACCCTCAAGGCATCCCCGGTGTGTACGACTTCCTTCTTTCAGACGAATCCAATCGGAGTTACATTTAAAAAAATATCCTGGCTCTTCCAAGCTTTATAATGGAAGTGAATGGGTTTTATTTTTTTAATAGTCCAAAGGAAGACCAATAAAGCGCATCCATCCATCATAAAAAATGCCTCACATGGCTCCGGGGGGTGAATAAAGGCCTCCTGAAGCGAATCAATGCGTTTTTGTTAGACAAATATCCATATTTAAAACTTTATAAACCGTAATCTAGCTTCCGCTAACAGTCGTATGCACTAAAACAAAAATAATGTCTATTACTCCCTCTTTTAAGTTTTTCTGTAAAGAACGTAAAATATTTTATGACTCATTGATTTCAATCACTAGGAACAAGAAATGTATAAAAACGTCTCTCATATTAAAAAAAATGTTATTTGTAAATAGGTGTTTTAACCAAATGTATATTTGTTATATGTATCCCCCATTTTTATTTGTGTTCTGTTTGACGTTAAGTATCTCTGTATGTTTGTTTTTGAAAGAGAAAAAAAATAAAACATTTAATAAAACATTTTTTTCAAAAAGTCGTACGCGCGTTCATTCCAGCGGAGGATGAAGGACGTAGCGTAAGATCCGGTGAGAAATGGAGAGAGCAAAACAAAAAACTGGTCAAGAATTAGAAGTACAAAACGAAGAAAACGTCGGAGGATTTCGATATAAGCCGAGAGGAGACTGGTTTTTCTTTGCTAAAGTAAGGAAACTTTGCTTCCTTTGCTCCTGTAAACAAACGTGGGTTCTCGCGAGACTAGCATATTCTCACCGGAACTTACGCTACGCTTACGTCATCCGCTGGACAGTTAGCAGAAGCTAGAGATTACGGTCTATAAAGTTTTAAATATGGATATGTTTCTTACACAAATGCATTGATTCACAACAGGAGTCCTTTAGTCACCCCCTGGAGCCATGTGAGGCACTTTTTATGATGGATGGACGCTCTTTATTGCACTTCTTTTGGACTATTGAAAAATAACACCCATTCACTGCCACTATAAAGCTTGGAAGAGCCAGGACATTTTTTAATATAACTCCGATTGGATTCGTCTGAAAGAAGGAAGTCATACACACCGAGGGTGCCTTGAGGGTGAATAAATCATGGGCTAATTATAATTTGTTTTATTTATTCAATGTGACGATTAAACTTAAAAAGGCTGTGATTTCATTGAATACGTATGAGCGCTGCATGTTTCAAAGTCAGCTGCTGCGCTGCTTTGTCTACCACGGTTACCGGGGAAACCGCTGTATTTCTGCCGTTCCGAAAGCGCCACCTGCTGGCTGAGAATGAATCTGCATTTTTAGTAAACCCGTCTGCTGTTTTTGTTCAGACCACTGTGATCGACAAGAAGGTAATACATTATAAAAAATTAAACAATTAAGACAGGGAACAATACGTTCCATACGTAACCGAGACGTTTTCAGTGTTCAATACTCAACATTACCATTTGTAATTGGCCCAAATCGGATGTGTTTTTGCTATGTATATGAATGCAACAAGATCCAGATAAAAATGCAATAGGGTGCCAGTGTAAATGTGGCTTTAAAGCTCCAGTTTTGTTCATTTTCTCCCTCTTCAACGCAACAGTTTCACTATTTGAAGCTTGAATTTAAAACATTTCATGAGCATCGCGACATGTTTCTTACAGCCGTTTCTATGCAGTATGAACAGTGTTACGTTGCATTGGATGAGAAGGTGAACAGATGTAAATGTCTCACCGTCTCGTGCGCGGCTGGGGCTCGTCTCTCGGCTGCAGCCTTGACTGCGCGGGATCTTACTGCGTCTGTCTGCCGGCGCTCGAGCGGATCCGGCGGATCGAGGGATTCTCCCGGAAGAACGAGTCAAGAGCTTCCCGGGTGAACTAGAGCGGCTGCCCGCTAGAACACAGACATATATAATTTGGTGACTTGACTGAATGTCAGTGTTACTGTAAATACTGTATATGTCTATCAACAAAAGCGGATGGGAGAAGCACATGCATCAGACACAAAAACAGAGGCTGTGCGAGGCAGAAACCGTCCACTCGTACATTGATAAATGGAAAAAATATCACACTTAATACGGCAAGCTTCTGTTCAGTTTATCAATACATTATGAATTAATTTAAGAGGTTTGTTGTTACAGCCTGAAAATGTGCTTTTTTGACCTTATTATGGCATTTTTGTTTTATATTTTTAGTTTTCATTTAAATATTTGTAACATTTTTAGTAATTGTGTTTTGTGCTTTTATCTTTTATATTAGTTTTAATTTTTCAATATATATTTCTAAATATTTTTTATTTATTTTTTAAATGTTTCGTTTTTATGTTATTTTTCCGTTTTAGCTTAGTTATTAGTAATTGTGTTATGTGCTTTTGTCATTATTGTTAAATTTTTTTTTTTTTTTTTTAACATTTCAAAACGGTTTGCATTTATTTTTAAATGTTTTAATTTTTACATTATTTTTTCAGTTTTAGCTTAATTTTTAGCAATTATGTTATGTGCTTTTGTCCGTTTTTTTAGTTTTCTTTTTTGAATATTTCTAAATAGATTTAATTTATTTCTATTTAAATATTATTCAGTTGTAGCTTAATGTTTAGTAATTGTGTTACGAGCTTTTGCCTTTTTTTGTAAATGTTTGTTTTTTTATATAGATCTTTTTAAAAATATTTTTTATTTGTTTTATTAGTAGTATTATTATTTTTTACATTATTTTTAAGTTTTGGCTTAATCTTTAGTAATTGTGTTATGTGCTTTTGTCATTTTTTTAAATATATTTTTAAATAGTTTTAATTTATTTATTTATTTTTTACATTATTTTTCAGTTTTCGCTTAGTTTCTAGTAATTGTGTTATGTGCTTTTGTCCTTTTTGTTCAATTTTGTTTTTTAAAAAACATTTCAAAATAGTTTTAATTTATTTAATAATTTATTTAATTCAGTTTTAGTTTTATTTCAGTTAGTAATTTTCGTATTATTAATACGTATAAATTATTAACTTATTAATTAATAATTTAAAAAATGTGTATTAATTTTTAAAAATATTTTAATTTTATTTCAGTTTTATTTCAATTATTTTTTAATTTTTTTTATAGTTTTAGTATAAGTGATCGATAACGAAACTGGCTGGAAATAACTAACCAAAGTCGTTAGCAAGAGTGACACCGAGTAAACCGATTCGCCTTAAAGGGACTCTGACAAAAACAGAGATAAATTACACACAAATAAATAGCAAAATCATACTAATAACACAGCGGGAATCAATCGCAGCAGTACAGTGGATCATGCTTTCATGACGGGACGCATGCAGACGTCAATCCGTGTTTTACTCCGTACCGCGAGTTTTACCCCCCACCGGATTAGCCGATCTGGATCCTTGACGCGGGACAGTGAAGAGAAACTACATTACCCATGAGTCCATGCATCAGCATGAACTACCGCTGATCTAAAGCATGCTGATGTGTACGAGGCGGCACAGGAAGACAGATGGAGTTCATATCTCTTCATTAAGAGGGACGTCAACCGAAAACACACGAGAGCCACATTATACTGAAGTATGATGTAAATTACACTGCAGCCAATGATATTAAAGCATACTGTGCATCTATTGACCAAGGTTTACCATTTGTTTAAAGGGACAGTTCACCCCAAAATGAAAGCACTGCCATCATTTACTCACCTAAACACAAACAATGAATATTCGCAATTTTTTTTTTTTGTGAACTATCCCTTTAATTGTCTCTATAATATTCCTATAATTTTTCTGTGAAGATATTTGATTGACAGGCATAAATCCTGATCTAATTTGTGGGCCAGAGCAGGACAGCTGAACAGGATGATGTAACGGCAAACTCACGTTGTGATTGGGGCACAGCTTTGGCTCGGCTCCGCCCCCTGCTGTCTGTCACAGAAGCTCCGCCCCCAGCTGCCATCTCTGAACTCTGTCGTCTTGTTCGCACACGACCTGCAAGAGGAAAAAATACAGAACCGTAAAATTATGGATGAACACAAAAATCATTTCAGTAACTGCAAAATAAATTGATTTTAATATTTATTTAAGAAATATATATATATTAATCTATTTTTTAACATATAAAAATAAAATATAAATATTTGATTAAACACTTAAACTACAAGAACATTTTGAAATAAGTTTAAGTTATTAGTATGAATATTAATAACTGAAATAAAACAAATTTAAATATAAATTAAAAAATATTTGTAAAAACTAACAAAAATGACAATAGCGCATAAAATGACTAAAATTTAAACTTAAATCAAAATGAAAACTGAATAATTTAAACAAAGCTGACATAAAATAAAATATTAGATGAAAAACATAAAATTAAAATTTTGAAATGTTTCCTTTGCAACAAGCTGAAGTACAAAAATTACTAACTGAAATAAAAGTAAAACTGAAATAACTTAAAAGGATTTAGATATATTTAAAAAAACTAATAAAAATGACAAAAGCACATAAAATGACTCAAAATTCAACTAAAATCAAAATGAAAACTGAATTGAAATAAAGCTGAAATAAAATATAAATATTAGATAAAACATTTAAATTTTGAAACGTTGCCTTCGTAACTAATTATGAATTATTTTATATATCATATTTTAACACATAATATAAATTTAATTTAATATAATAAAAGCACTTAATTCAATATTTAATTACATATACATATATATATATATATATATATATAATTATATATAATAATAATAATATACATTTCAAAAATTACAAAAACATATATATTATACACACACTTTAAATTAATTTAATGTTTTTAAATAAATGTATATTTTAATCAAAAATATATCTTTATTTATTACTGACATAAACAGACATATTGCACAAATCCTTTAACTGTGCAAACTGATGCATACACGAACAAAAACCTGAATACAAAACCCAAACACACGACTCTTCATCTCAACAAGCCCGAGCTGAACAGACGCTGTGAAAACTCATGCTGGAGAATGTTGCATCTAAATGTTTTGAGTGACTTTAATATCACTTATTTATCAAATTACCCACACTAGCCAATAAACCGGACCCGTCTTCTGTGAGCGTCTCAAACAGACTGACGCTTTTCAACACAAAACGGCACAGAGCGATATGCAGACAGAAGAGGACAATGAGACACACACACATCTTACCCTCCACATTACCAGCCACATCTTTGAGCAAATAAGAGCAGAGGTACAACAGAAGACAACAGCATCAGCGCGTGTTAGAGGAGACCGTCTGGGATCATGCAGGAGTGTGTTATTCATCAAAACACCCTCATACGAACATGATATTTAGTCAAAATTGTGTTTCAAAAAAACTGTGTGTATGCCGCATTATGTGTAGTGACTTTACAGAAAGTGTGCTAGTTCAGGAAATAAACTGAGTCAAAATGTTTAATTTGGTCATTTGTAAACTTAAATAATGTGTTATTCTATCATGAGATAATAGAATATCATTTAAAAAATATAATAAAAAATAATAAAAAATAATAAAAATGTAAAAGTAAAAAAAAAAATGTATATA